CAAACTGATCAATCGTGTTATGGTAAAAGCATCTTCAGCAACGTAAGGCAATGACACACAGCTAAAGCATTCAATAGTACAATTGAGCCCACATTGTCCCCAAACATCCTGTTAAGTGCCCACCTTTGTCCTGGAGCTTGCCTTAATATAAGCAATGTTTTCCTTAAGAAATGGCTTGATAATATCTTGGAACAAATGGCAATCAATGAGGTACAAAGAGTTTGTTTATTGTACAGCCTTGAACTGTTAGAACAATGAAATAATGCATTTTGGTTTCTTACCACAGAAAGCAGAAAGCATCTTGTAAAGGGAGACAAATGTGAATTACTCCCCCCCAAAATGGTTTAAAACTTCTTCCTTATATTGGCACTTATATTTAGGGAAAGAAAACAGTTTAAAAGATAAAAAGAAGTTTTCATAAAGGCCCTCTGTACATACAAAGGCTGAGTTGCCCTGATCCCTTTCACTGCCCTTTAACAAAAGAACAAAAAACAATTGAATCAGTACTAGGTGAAAGTGCTAATTAGTGTATGACTGATTGTAAGATTTAATAAAGAATCTATGATATATGCCTTCATAAGTTCCTTTTGCTTGTGAGTTTTCTTTTTAATTCTATACTCTTGATATTTTAAGTAATAGGTTTACTGAAACTTGATTTTGGATATAAGGAAAACACCTGTCACTGTAACTACATGTACTGCCAACTGTGAGTTCCTGGCTTTGGCCAGGTGACTACAGGTTTGAATGGGTAATGGTTTGCTGAAAATTTTTACTTTGAAGTAAAATATTAATAATGTATTTTAGGATTGTTTTGTAATCATTCTTTTAACCATGAAGTAAAAATGAAACAATTGGATATTGTGCAAAATCTTGTGTGATTTCTGCATAAATAATGAGGCAGTTTTTTTGAGTTGTCCATTGTGAAATCATGCCATTTTGGTCCACATCTCTTCTCTTCTTCTTTCCCGCTGATTCACACACCCCCCTTTAGCTGGAGCTGGTCTCCAGCATTCATTCAGTTTAGAAATATTCTAATAAAAAATGATTAAGGTTAATAAGGAAAGATGATATTTCCAACAAAAATTGACATGTCAATTTGATTATTAACTGAAAACAAAATAATTTTGACCACTCCCCCTTCAGTCAAATCATACAAAGGGTATTTCTATGTTGCTCACATTTCTAAATCTGGGGGGCTAGGGTAAAGCTTTTAGATGAAAGCATGAAAGAAAACCCCCATAACATCAGAATAGGCTAAGAGTTCTTAAATATGACATAAGGTCACTAAGTAATAGAAAAACAGTGTATCTGGGTTCCATTGTGGCACAAGAGGTTCAGCTGCGGGTCAGCCTGCGGCCACTTGGGGAGTAAATCAGCGGACGGAAGATCTTCCTCTCTGTCTCTCCTCCTCTCTGTATATCTGGCTTTCCAATAAATAAATAAATCTTTTTTTAAAAAAAAGAAAATTGAAAGCCCTTTCGCATTTTATTCTGGTGTAAAGTATATGGGAAGTGCTTAATGCTGGTGACAAGGTATATATCCAGGTATGCAAAACTATCATTTCACAGTAATTTGCTAACATGTTTTCAGCAAAATTCATGAAAAATTGAACCAACTAAGAATACTTCCAGGTCTGGCTTTAAGATAAAGACACCAGTTAGAAGTCCAGGGCCTCACATCAGGAGTACCTGGGTTCTATCCCGGGCTTTGGCCACTGACTCCAGTTGTCTGGCAATCTGCACCCCAGGAAACAGCAGTGATGGATGAAGTATTCAGTTCTGGCCACCCATGTGGGAGATCTTGATTGAGTTCCTAGTTCCTGGGAAGTAAACCAGAGTTGTTGATGTTGCTGTTATCCTCGTCTCTTCTCTTCTCTTCTCCTCTCTTCTCCTCCTTACCTCCCTTGCTGTCACTCTCTCTCCTCTCTCTCATACACACATATAAACATCTTTTAAAATGAAGGAAAAAAAGTGATCCTCCACGTAAGTGACTGAATAACTACAAACTATAGGTCTAGAACCCAGAGGAACAAGATTGGGTTTAACTTCTTCATACTTTAAATGAGTTTTATCACAATGTTCATGATCTAGCTTTCAAATCTAGAAAGGAAACTTATGGTTCCTTCTGATAGGATGAATGTTTTAAAATACTTGATAAATTTACTGGTTGCCTATATTTATATATATGTAAATGTATATATATGTGTGTATGTGTGTGTATATATATAAATATACATATATAAATGTTGTGGAATCAAATGCCGACAAAGACTTTCTAAAGACTTATTTGTTTTTATTAGAAAGGCAAATTTACAGAAAGAAGGAGAGACAGAAAAAGATCTTCCATTGCCTGAGTTCACTCCCCAAATGGTTCCAACAGCCTGAGCTAAACCTGACCGAAGCCAGGGGCCAGGAGCTTCTTCTGGGTCTCCCACACGGACACTATCCCAGGCCATAAGCAGGGAGTTGAATCAGAAATGAAGTAGCCTGAACACACACCAGTGCCCATATAGAGTCAGGCACTACAGGCAGAGGAATAACTTGCTACACAACTGTACAGGCCCTCCACATTGTCTTTTTAGAATAATACTGATGCTTCACAATTAGCAGGGAAAAATAATTCCCAGTTAGCCCTGTAATGAATTCTAGAAATTAATAATTATAATTATTTTTAATCATTAATAATTATGATAAATTTTATTTATAATCAAACAGATGGAAAAGGTTTCGAGCCTTGGATCTTCAGTTTTCTTGTTCTACAGTATATGTCATAATTATGTCTCATGAGTTTTTCTGACTCTTTATTTGTAATTTGAATATCAAAACAGCATGATCTTACATAATTATTCTTTTATAACTCACTTGTATCTATCTCCCTTCTTTGTCAACACATTTCATCATGAAACTTAATTCTCTCTTTTAAAAAAAAAAAGGTACTTAATCCACCTGCATCTAGATTTACAGGTTGTAGAAAATAAAGTTGCTGAGAAGCATTTAACATATTTCTTGCCCTGACTGACATCTTTTGGGTACATAAATTACTAATTTCAAACGTTCTTGGCCTGCGTTATCAATACCATTTGGAGAGTAAAGTGTAAACAGAAGCAAAAGAAGAGAGAAATCAATGAAGGCACCAAAAGTTCAAGGGAGAGCTCAGCTATAAACGGGTTAATATTGATCGTGTAAGATTGTATTGCATAGAATCTAATCAGAGACTTAGGGAGAAGGTGGGGAAGGATGCTTACCTGTTATAAATTAGTGGTTCTGGGAGCTGTCCAATGTGCTGAGGGAACCCGCACAGCTCAAACACCACTTCGCTGGGATGGAGGTCCCTAGCCTTTCTCACTACACCCAATGCATCCGAATTCCCATTGTCAGGCTCTGTCTTCTAATCACAATTACATTTATTTTCTATCAACTCACTTTGTCCCAACACTTAGAGTAATATACAAGTAGCTATTAACAAAAAGGAAAAAAGAACTTTCTTTTTCTTTCTTTTTTTTTTTTTTTGTAAACATATTAGGGAAGGAGGTAGGTGTGTGCGTTGGCAGGTAAGAACCATCCTAAGACAACTTTGTCCTCTTATCAGATTGCCTGGATACAGGTTTCACCTTGGCTTCCCACGCAGTTTTGGGGAGTCAGCAGGAGATGAGTTTAAGTGGGTAGATCTTTGTCACTCAAATAGGATTCCCTTCTTGGCTCCCAGGAAGCAAAGCATGGATGGGAGCTCCCTTGCTCGCTCTCTCTCCTCTCAACAAATAAATGCAGAAATATCTTAACATAAAATCAGGACAATTTCATTTTCATGACATAAACTTTAGAATCTATTCTGCTTCCAAAACGATCTAACAACACCAAAACTATCTCCTGGCAGTACTAGTCGATGACTTGTGGCATCGGCTCTTAAATTTTGTTGGAAGATATGAGCCAGGGAGGAAACTAGGACAGACGGAAGTCTCAGGATGTTTCTGTGCAAACACACACTTGGTCGGCTATTTCATCAAGAATCGGTGGCGTGTTTGAAAGCAGACTGGAGTTCTTCGGCTTGGAAGAGGGTTTGCTTTTTGTCTGGTAACCTGGCCGTGTTACAGTAAAAGTACCTCGAGGCGACAGGGCGCTGACTTTCCCTCTCCCACTTAATTGCCTCCGTAACTTTTTCCCCTGGGAATAAAATTCTCCACTTTACAGGAGTAACTGAGGAGGGTACGGCAAGTTAAGTATCCCCATTGTTAGGCTGATGACATCCAAACAGACTTGAGAATCCAGGCTCAGTGGCAAGGCAGGGGGTGTTTAACTTGTGCTGGAGGGAATAAAGAGTCTTGCGGGTTCCAAGAGCGACCCTGGGGAATGCGTGCCTGCCCCCCAGCTTTGCTTACTTAAGCTAATGGAAGAGCTTGCCTTTCAGCTGCCGCTGCGCTGGGATACGGAACAAATACTTTCCTAGAGCCCCTGACCGGGTTGGGCCCCTGTTCAGGACATCATTAAATACGCGTGCACTTGCTCTACTCCATTGGAGAGAAGGTGGCAAGATTCAGGTCTCCTACCCTGAAGTCTAGGAGAAGCCACCACGGTGGAAAACATCCTGGCTTTGAAAACCCAGGAGGGAATTAGAGAACCGCGGGAGACTTGTAGTGTGGGACGCATTCTTTGGCCCTAGGAGTGAAGACAGTCGCAAAAGGCCTGGCAGGTAAGACCTGAGGATTTATGGTCAAGAATAAAGCGTTTCGGGGTCGCTGCGCAGACCTGCCCAGGTCCTTAGGCCTGCACCTTGCATTTATCCAAGGGCCCGCAAGCTTGCCTGCCTCCACCAACTCCAAGGATAGGGGTTTGGCCAGAATCGTCGCGGGAGTGCGACTAATCCTTTAACCAGCTTCCTTAAAAAAAGGGATGTCCGCTGGCCACTTGCGCGCGCGGATGCGGGCTCAGACTCGGGCCTGGTAGGTAACCACATCCTCATCCTCCAGGAGAGACCTCCAAGAGCCGCAGGGTCGCGCCGCAGCCATGGCGGCCTCTCGGGTGAGCTGCGTGGACGCCGCTGTGTTGGACTTCGTCGCAGACCTGTCCTTGGCGTCCCCGAGACGCCCTGGCTTCCGCGACTTCTCGCCCGGAGCGCACTTCGGGGATCCAGCCCTCGTACTTACAGACGGAAGGCCGAGGGCACTGGTGCGGTTTGAGGAAGGGGATGTAGACGAGGGGGAAGAGGAAGAAGAGGAGGAGGAAGAAGAAGAAGAGCGCGGAAGAGGTGCCTCGCTGCTGGGCCGCCCCCGGAGGAAAAGGGTGATCACCTACGCCCAGCGTCAGGCTGCCAACATCCGAGAGAGAAAGCGAATGTTCAACCTCAACGAGGCCTTCGACCAGCTGCGGAGAAAGGTGCCCACCTTCGCATACGAAAAAAGGCTGTCCCGCATCGAAACACTGCGCCTGGCCATCGTCTACATCTCCTTCATGACTGAGCTCTTGGAGCGCTGTGATCAGCATCCCACCAGCTGAGCCGGCCTGGGGCTGGGGTGCCAGTTCCCCATGCAGGGTACACTGCAGGGCGCTTGCACGCCGCTGCACATTTCAGGGGCCTCCCGGGTGGGTGCAATGGGAAGGCGAGGAAGGAGCCCCGAGGCTGGACGTGGGGGTGGGGGGGCTCCCTCTGGAGCTTAGCTCGGTCTTCTTGGGAAAAGCTGTTGCCAGAGTGGTCCCCTCCGCATGCCCGGCGGAGCTTAGAGAGCCTGGGGAAGGGTCCTTGCGCCTCGTACTTACAGGCTTGCAACCCCGGCCCTCCTGCCAATGGCTGACTTTGCAACTCTCTCCCTGTTGCCTTTTTTATTATTAGGAGTGATAAACCAGAGAGGAGAGAGGGAGGGAGGGAGGAAGGAAGGGAGGAAGGGAGGGAGAGAGAGAGAGAGAGAGAGAGAACCTACTTTGTTTTAAGCCTCAATAATTCCATCCTGCGCAACCCTTGCATCCACGCCTAGAGAGAGAGGGAGCCTGCAAAGCTGAAATCAGGAGCTAGCTTTTCGGATAGGCGAAAGGGCGCCCCACCCCCACTCAGCCAGTGCCCCCAGGCTTGTACAGGAACAAAGAGAAGATGCAGGGAGGGGAAAGAGAGCACTCCAGGGGACCAGTTAACCAAAAGGTCACCTTGGATAGAGGGTGATAAGTCTCTCGCTAGCGTTTTTGCGCGCTCTCTCTCTCTCCCTCGCTTTCTATCTGTCCTTCCATCTTCTCCCTCTCCCCTCCGCGCACCCGCCACCACTGTTTCCAGCTGGTTTCCAGAACAGGAACCTGGGGACTGGAGAGCACGACACCAAGCTGTCTCAGAGGGACGGTGCCGCCTGGCCCGAGTCACAGGGCTGGACTCCTTCAGTTCACAGTGCTCTACTGGGCCTTCCACGCCTGGAGCCGCCGAGAGGAGCTAGAGGCAGCCCTAGCCCGCGGGGCCCTTAGTACAGATCATGTTAGGGACCTCAGGCGCCCCTGAGTCTATGCTGTTCACCAACAAAAAGGGCCCAGGTCTTTCCTGGCGCGTGTTTCTGCATTATTTGCTGTAGGTAGACAAAGGTAGCTTGCTTCCTAAATTCCCTTAGGGACAACGGAAGTTGGAAAAAGTCCAAGATGGAAATGCACTCCGACGCTTTTGCCAAAAGCCTGCACCAGGCGGTGATAACCTTCCAGCAGGTTGGTGCAACTCGGCTCTTGTGCCATTCCACCAAGCGGCAATTTAAGGAACAGCAGAATGGGGACTGTCAGAAGGAGAGAGTGGATACAACCCACCTAATGTACAAGTCCTAAGAAGGAAGCCCTCCCACAGGAGTGTTCCCAGTCTTTATTATGCCGGCTCATGCATGCCGCACTACCCATCCCACTTACACACTGTTAGAATTTTCATTGTCTTAAAAAGCAACATTTGCTCATCCTGGAAATACCGAAACACTTCAGACAACAAAAAGTAGGTCTTGTCCATTATCATACCAACACCGTTTTCATCAATTTCCTTCTAGCCTTTTTTTTTTCCTCCATGCAGTTACCAAGTCAATGCATTCAACACATCCATGATACGTTTGACAGTTGATATTGCTTGCACTCCACATTACAGAAAGAGCTCTGTTCAGATGTTATTTCGGTTAAGTACTCCAGGGTTTGCATGGAAATAGTCTCAATCCTTTACAGGTGGATAGCTGTTAACTTTCATAAATAAATAAATGATGGTGCAAATAATATTTCCCTAAGAGTTTTTTCTGTCTGCTATGATTGCCTAATTGTAGATCCCTGGAGATGAGATTTCTGGATAGTTTACAGTAACCAGCAACCAGATTTCTTTCCTGTGGGTTCTGCCAGGTCACATTTCTTCCCATTGTCCTTACAGGGACTTGCCTCCCAAGGCTTTCATCTATGCTTCTGACAATTGAAACTGTACCCAGTTCTCCATTCCATAGGAACTGAGTCAGTTCTGAATTGACCCTTCCCATCTCTGTGGGATTTTTTGCTTGTTTCTGCCTTTCAAAACAGGTAAGGGGCAGAAAAATTGTGGATGAAGACCAAAGAACTGTAAGACCAGTGCATGCCATTTTTCCTAACATTTTTGCTAAAATAAACTGAGATTTGAGCACAGAAATGCGCATCAGTTTTGTTAAGTAAAACTGCACATTATCTCCTTTTTCTTCTTTTCCTAGAGAATGGTTTGTTGATTTAGAATAGCATGTCTGTTTTGATGATAAATTTTAACTTATCCATTTTAATATGTAGACAGAAAAAGCTATCTCTTAGTTCATCATAAAATACTATTGCATTCGGGGTGAGAACACGGGGAGGGGTTGGGGGAACATCAGAGCCTGTGAAACTATGTTATAAAACGAAATGCAATTTAAAAAATACTATTGCATTCCCAATCTTCTTAGGAGGTGTTAAGCAATTCAGTCAGTCCCTCCTGTTTAGCAACACCAGATCCTGGTGAGTTCCAAGTTCAGACTTTGTGGAATCTCCCTTTTTCCACATCACCTAGAAGTCAACCATTTGAGTTCAAAAACAATGTCAGCAAGTGTTGACTAAGTCAGAGAAAAAAGGTGTTGCGAATCTCAGGGTCCTTAGTGTTTTATTATAAGAACTAACTTTGGAAACCTGAAGTAATATGTGGCTGCGTAAGCTAGGTGCCCTCCACATCACGTCTTCAACAGCGAATGTTTGCTATCCGTTATTCTTAGTCCCGTCACTCATACCCTGTCCAATGCCGTTACATCCTTAAGCTCGTGATGCTTTTGTGATGAACAACCTTTAGCACTGTAAATAATACCTCAAGAATTGTGAAAAACAATGCTATTTTCCCATCATTACTAGGTGTATAACAGCATTCTTAAAACCATTACAGGTTAGAGATGCTTCAGTCTTTGAAGTTTTTACACATTTAGAAAGTATTCTGCAATGTGGCCCCTTAAAGCATTCTCATAAGCATTATACCATAGAACAATTTAGAAACAAATAGGAAATGCAAAGAAAGTAATTGACTTGTTTCATTCACCAAATCATCCAACAGGGATAAGAAAAAAAAAAAAAAAAAAAAACAACAACAAACTCATGTCCCAAACTTAAATTCAGAGCAGGTCCATATCTGGAAACTCAACTTTTCTAAGCAATACGCTTTAGTATAGGATTTTCCCAGAGCAGGTCCACAAGAATCACTGTACTTTTTAATACAGGCTCTTAAAAAATACAATATACAATATGTTAAAATTGCCTTAACTCTTTCTCTTAAAGACTAAAACTGACTTTAAAAATCAGCAAACATGGGCTTTTCAATAACTTTTAATTTTTAAAATATCTAATGGTATTCATGGAAAACTGTACCAACTAGTTCTGGCAATCTTAAAGTTATTTAGGAATTCAGAAGAAACATGCCATTTTAGACGTTGCATAAAGACAAGTTTATTTGTATGTTCTTCCACAATGAGAACTATCTTTTGGGCACAAACTAAGTTGCCCATAATGATCAGACTATTGTTCCTATTCAGATAGGTAAAATAAAAAGATCTTTCCAAAGAAAATAAAAATAATGGAAAACTTTTCCCAGTGCGCAGGAACTGTTCAGGACAATTATCACTGGTCTGTTGTCCAGTGCAGAAGGAGATTATGGCAAAAACAAAAATCCAGCTGGCATGATGTTGCCTGAATTCACATATGATTGAGGTACTTGAATTGCTTGTCAGCACATATAGCTATCCTAATTCTGAAATGAAACTTGATCTCGAGCATGCTAAGCTATATATATTTTTTCTTAATTATAAATCTCCAGGAGTAATAAAGCCACACAAACCGTCTACATGTGTACTTCCTGTAATTTTTATAAAAGGAAGAATTCATTTAGTGGGGTCAGTACTGTTGAGTAATGGGTTAAGCCACGTCTTAGTACTCCAGTATGCCATATTCCATGCTGGTTCAAGTCTTGGCTGTTCTGTATCCAAGGCATCCCCCAGCTAATGGGCCAGGAAAGCAGAAGAGAGTAAGTGCTGGAGCCCCTGCCAGCCGTGTCGGAGGCCTTGGCAGAGTTTCTGGCTGTTGGCTTCAGTCTCAATCATTCCTGGTTGCTGCACACACTGGGGAGTGAATCAACAGATGAAAGATCTGTCTTTTCCTTTCTATCACTTTGTCTTTCAAAATAAATAATCTTTTTAAAATTAACATTTTCCCAAGCACCCATTTAAGGCAAAATATAAACTCTGTTATTATTTTACGTCAAAAAAAGAGAAGTTAGGACTAACTGCACTCTTTTTTTAGGTGGTATTGTATGTTAAATGATTTTATAATCACTTAATTTTACACAATTAAATTAAATGATGTAGTTTTGCTATATATCTACAACTTGGCCCAAGTACACTCAAAGGTTACTGAACTTTGCCAATATTTTGGGTGATTCTGGACCCCATTTCTGGCCAACACCCTCTCTCTTCCTGTGAGTGTGGAATTAAAAAAAAAAAAAAAGGTTACAAAACAAGAGTCAGCAGTTCCGACCATTTTGTTTTGACTTTGGGGTTTCTTTGAATCCAAAGCTCAAAACCAAACCTCATGGAGGAGGAGAAGGAAAGACAAGCGGCAATGCAAACTGACAGAAATGAAATACCAGAAAGATGGAAAAAAAACTTCTCCAAGCCTCTGAAAACCAACAGCTATAAAAATCCACAGCTTTCTTTATTACACCAACTATGTAGCTCTGTTCCTAAAGCCTATCCCTTAAAAAAGCACAAGGAAATGCACAGAAAATGTGACTGCACTTTGAGACACCCATGCAGCGGCTAGCATTTGATGAGAACACCACACTTAATTCGGCCACATTAAGAATTTGGCAGATGGGACAAAAAGAAACCACTTTAATAAGAATGCTTTATGTTTGCTTGGTACTTTATTGCTTTCCAGACACTACTCACCTGTCTTCTTTCATTTGATCTTCATAATCGGATTTCAACAAGGAAGAACACTGTGAACTAAATTATCAGTGCACATCCTAAAAA